GGAGCCTTTCGCGTTGCACCGAAAATCACGACGGGAGGCGTTTTGCTGGTCTCGGCCTGGGGCCCCCCAGGCCGTCAAAGAGCGACCCGGGATGAAGAACCGGCCCCGGTGCAAGGGTCCAGACCTCCGCTGGGAAAAAATCACGACGTCGGGGGTCGGTGCGAAAACTCCAGTTGGACGGCATGTCAAGGAAGACCGCATGTTTGGGACGGATGCAGTGTGTAGAAGTGCATGCTCTGACCTGCCCCTTTTCGTTTCCGCCCTCCGGTTCTCCCGCGCCTTTCCGCTTCTCGTGCTTCAGTTCGCTTCTGGAGCGCCCCTCCCGACGATGACTGGCATCAGCACCGGCCTTGTGCTCGCTTGTGCCCGCGGGCCAGAAGAGTTTGCACGAATCCAGAAAATGGTGTCTGAGCTTGTTCAGATATGCTGTCTTGCATTCTCTCCAGCACCGGTGCTCCGAATTCATTCCAGGACAGTTCAAACACCGGCTACTCGTAGGCATTCGAGACCCGTTCTAAAGTCAACCCGTACAGTAAGGATGAGGAATTTTCCAAGGTTGCCCTTGCATCTTTCCCCTTCGGCCCATCCTTGGCCGCTTTCGCTGGTCGCGCCCTGCCCGCAAAGGGCCGACGTGGCCATCCAAGGCCCTTGCATCCCTACCGCGTATCCTTGTTACACGGGTTGACTGTACCTATCTCCGACCCCCCCAGAAGCCGATGGGAGGGGCTTCTCGGTCCTCCGCTTCGCCCCCATCTCTACAGGTAGACAATATGAATACTCCTCTCCTCTCTCCCCTGACTCTGTCCAGAGCTCTCCGCGTATTGTTTTGTACACACAGGATTTCATTGCTCGGTTTTTGCTAGGTGCTTTTTCAGTCTGGTCGTTTCCCGAGCTTCAAAAATGGTGCTCCCGTTGCAGCGCCGCCCTCATTTCCGCGTTTCGGTCGTTCAAAATCGTGTTTCCACTGCAGCGTTGGCCTCATTCCCGTTTTCGGTCCTGGACTCTATCTCGCGCTCCAGTCCATCAAAATCTTGATCCCGCTGCAGCGCTGGTCTCATTTCCGTCGGCCCTGCCATGCCACGGCATGCGATGCGATGCTGCGTTGTGCACCGCTGTGCGATGCCATGCTTTGCGTTGCTGTGCTTTGTGATGCATTGCTTCACTACGCAATGCCACGCCATGCTGTGACATGCTACGCTCTGCCGTGCTCTTCTACGCCATGCTTTTCCATCCATCTCGAACTCTCTTGGGATCCTTGCCCTGCTCGACATCCGACCGTGCGAATAGATCGGAGATCTACGCCATGGTAAGGGATGGGAAGGAGGGCTAGGACGTAAGATGTGACGCTGTCGCACCAGGCTTGCCTCGCTCCCTCTCCCCCCCCTCCCTTCTCTCTCCATCCCCTCCGCTCCCCCCCCCCACCACCCCTCGTAGCCCCCCTCTCCCCTCCTCTCTCCCCCCCCCCGCCTCCCACTCCCCCTGCAGCCGGGCCAGGGCCGTGGCAGGCGCGAGCCCTGGAGGGCAGCGCCGCCCGCGCGCGGAGGAGTGAGGCGCCCCTGCTCCCGCGCTCGAGGTGGGCACCGGCGAGGGGAAGTCCATGATCGTCGCCGCCCTGGCCATTTACGTGGTCGTGGTGCTCGGCAAGAAGGCGCCCTGCCTCGCGCCTCGTCAAGGCGGCCTCCAGGGCATCTGGTCCGGTTCTGCGCGTCCGAGGCTTCGAGTCCGCCGTCGGCCAGCTCTCTCCATTGCGCCTTAGGGGCCACCTCCTTCCTGGTCCCAGCGGCATCGTGCGGCTGATCTTGCCAAGGCGCAGGTAGGAGGCGGAGGCGGAGGCGGAGGCGGAAGAGGAGGAGGCGGAGGAGGAGGAGGAGGAGGAGGGAGGAGGCGGAGGAGGAGGAGAAAGAGAAGGAGGAGGAGAAGGAGGAGGAGAAGGAGGAGGAAAAGGAGGAGGAGGGGTGGAGGAGGGAGGAAGGAGGAGGGAGGGAGGGAGGAGGGAGGAGGGAGGAGGGAGGAGGGAGGAGGAGGAGGAGGAGGGGGAGAAGTGGGAGGAGGAGGAGGATGAGGAGGAGGGGAGGAGGAGGACGAAGGTAGAGGAGGTTAGGAGGAGAGACGGAGGAGGAGAAGGAGGAGGAGACGGAGGAGGAAAGGAGGAGGAGGACGAGGCGGAGGAACTGGAGGAGGAGGAGGAGGAACATGAGGAGGAGGAGGAGGAAAAGGAGGAGGAGGAGGAGGAGGAGGAGTAGGAGAGGAGGAGGAGATGGAGGAGGGAGGAGGAGGAGGATGGAAGGAGGAGGAACAGGAGGAGGGAGGAGGAACAGGAGGAGGAGGAGGAGGAGGAGCGGCAGGAGGACAAGGAGGAGGAGGAGGACGAGGAGGAAACACAATAATAATGATAAGGAGAATATTATGAAGGAGAAGAAGATGAGGTGGAGGCGGAGGAGGGGAAGGATAGGGAGGATGAGAAGGAGGAGGAGAAGAAGGAGGACGAGGAAAAGGAGGAGGAGGAACAGGGGTAGGAGGATGAAGATGATGATGAGGAGGAGAGGCAGAAGGATGAGGAGGAGAAGGAGGAGGAAGCATCATAAGAGTATATTACATAATGAGAAGGATCATAAGTGGGGAGGAGGAACAGCAGCAATAGCATGATGATGCTGATGATGCTGATGCTGATGCAGATGATGATGATGATGATGATGATGATGATGATGATGATGATGCTGATGATGATGATGATGATGATGATGATGATGATGATG